TTCCAAGTTTCAATTTAATCCCTAGAAAAAGTTAAATGTCATGCTAACGGTTCTTTTGATATGAATTGCTTCATATCCTACAAAACGCTAGGAAAGTGGTCACACCTGTATTTGATTTCTCATTTTTATTACTCTTATAACCTTGAGTGTTTGTTCAACTAACATCCTTACACATGCTTATGCAACTTGAACACAATGATGGCTTTGGAAAAATTATGACCATCTGGTACATGCAGTTTTGCTAGCCTCTTAGTAAAACTCACACATATGAAGTATTGGATGGCAAGCAATAAATCCTCATTGCAGCTTAGTTTGACAATTTTGTGTATTAGTTTTTCCATATTTGTTGTTTTGAATTGTTTAGTTACCTTTCCACCTTGATTTGACTCCGTAGCCAAGCGTTTTTGACAAGAGGAACTCACAGGAGGTTAATGAAGATGCTATTGGAGAGGTATGCATTCTTCCTCTGTAGTGCCAAAACTATCAATTCCACTTTGAGTTCTATATTAATTCGGAGACTTTTTTATGCTTTGTAGGAATTTAAAGGCTATGTTTTCAAAATCATGGGAAGCTGCGACAAGCAAGGATTCCCCATGAAACAGGGTGTTAACTCCTGGCAGCGTTTGTCTCTTGCTCCACAGGGGTTGTGTTGTTTGTCTACCATCCTGTTCAAGTGTTTTGTATCATATCCACAATGGACCCTACCAGCTGTTGTGGTTTATCTTTGGCATTTTAGATTCACTACAGGTCATGCACACACAGTACATGTGTACTGATAGACAGAAAGAGAAAGATACAGAAGCAAGAAGAGAGTGGAATTGATAAGTCAAGATCGTAAAGTATGGTTAGATAGAAAATTTTGGAGTTAAATGTGATTAAAAGAAAAATATAGGTGTTTATATGTGGTCACTTGGAAAGAAATTAAGAAAGAAAATTATAGGTAGTTAACTGGTCATTTGGAAAGAAATTAAGGGTAATAGTGATATTTCATTTGGAGACCGTTGAAAAAAATGAGTTATTGGTGGTTATTATATACATCTTATGGGTATAATGATCATTGTATGGGTGGACACCAAACCTACCGCCCTCTTTCTTAATTATATGGTATTAGATCTTTTTTTTTTGTGTGCTTGCGATTCTGTTTTTCAACTACCTTATTTTGGTTTTGATAGGGACGCCATGCTTCCGTGGATATGGAAGACGCAATGGAGAATGAAGGAGGAAGTTTGTGCGTGGGTGCACTGTCAGCCCAGACCTTTCTGTTCTGAACTTGGTTATTGTGAAATGATCTTCCTGGGCGAACTGACACAGAGAAACCAAGAATGAGAGGTCCAAAGAGGGCATCCAAAATTCGCAAACTCTTCAAATACAAAAGGAAAAACTCTACTATACATAATACCCATAACATAACTGATCCCCAATACTTAGTCCAATTCTTCCACAATAAGCATCGAGGTTAAGGTTTAACTACAAAGATTTAAATAAGAAAAGAAGAAAATAACAAATCCGAAATTATAGTCATACCCAACTTCTGAGTCATCTAATCCTTGTTTTCACAACTGAACAGCTACCATGGGAAGGGGAGAAGATTTTGGGTTGTTAGTGGAAGAAACATTGCATTGGTCAACAAGAATCAGAAAACAAATGTCTGAGAGGGCTGATCAAAACCCATTAAGCCACTGGGTTTTGCCTGAGAGGCATGATCTTTGAGTCCTTTAACTTTCCCGAAATCATTTTCTCTACTACCTCCACTCCTTTATAACCATCACCAAATCAGAAAACAAATGTTGGAGGGTGACAACTTAAAGAAAAATGATGGAATCACTTTGTGTCATAGTCAAAAAAGATGGAAGGAATATGGACAAGAGAATTTATGTATTCAACTTGGTATGCTGGTAGGAAATAATAAACACTCCCAAGTCACATATCCTTTATGCAGCAAAAAAAAAAGATACCAAACACCTTCAAAAGACAAACTAATGTTCTCCACCAGTGTTGCAGCAACTAAATAGAATAATAAATTGAATAAAAAACCAAACCACAAAGAAGAAAACACCAGCATAAATGAAATCTAATTCAGTAATAATGCAAACCAAAACGAAACCAAAAATACTGAACTAATAATTTGAACACACATGGCAATTACCTGGTCAGAGGGAGAGGTTGGAGCTCCTCTAGCGGTGGAAAGCTTGATGATGCCAAAACACAACGGGCAGCCGGACAGAGAGGGGCTAAGGATGATGAGATTTCGAAAAATTTTTTGAAAAAAAAAACCTGATTGTAAATAGGATTTTGAAGAAGCTCAGCGGCTTTTTTAATTAAACAAATTAATTGTTTGATGCTTAATTGAAATCTAACTGATATTTGTAATTTAATACATGTAATTAAATAAAATTGAGGAGAGAGAGACTGAGAGGGGGACGGTGAAGGAGGGTCCATTACAGTGTGAGAGAGAGATTGAGAGGGGGATGGTGAAGAAGGGGCAGTGTGCTCTTCTCTGTTTGTGAAAATGCAGGGGAGAAAACAGATATACAGACGGAGTGGGGAAGATGAAGAGAAGAGCTAAGAATTTGCAAGAGAGAGAGGGAGAGAAAGTCAGACAGAGGAAGAGACTGTAACGGGTGACGGAAGCAGAGCCTAGGTGTGTGGAAGATGAAGAGAAGGGCTGTGAATTTGCGAGAGAGAGAGAGAGAGAGAGAGAGAGAGAGAGAGAGGAGAGAGAAAGTCGGAGAGAGGAAGAGACTGTAATGGTTGAGAGAAGTAGCGCTTAGGTCTTTTGACTTTGAGAGAGAGAGGAAGAGAGAGAGAGAAGAGAGGAAGAGGAAGAGGAGCCGTTAACGGCTAGGTTAATGGGAACCGATTAAATGTGAGGACATGGATGACGTAGTTATAATATTAGAGGATAATATAGGAAAAAAATGTTTTTTAAATATGCTAGTATTTTAAAATAGTATAAAAAAAATATTTTCACATATACTAGTATTTTAAAATAGTATAAATAAGGGTGTCATTTGAATTGAGGTTGAGTTATGTTTTATTATATAATAATAAGCGTATATTGTATCTTAAATAGGTACGGTACAATGTGAATAGTTTTAAGTATGATGTTAATGGTCATTAATCGAGTCTATTTGAGACCGTTGAATAAGTTTATTGAAATATGTCTTATTTTTTAAAAAATTTTATTAGTAAATCATTTATCAAAATTAGACCTATTGGAGTATCTCCAACTCACTCACCATTTCATCTACTTTAGCTATATTAGTTAGTCAAACACAAAAAAAAAATACTCTCAAACTCACTTTCTATTTCTTATTTCATCTAAATGATCGTTTATCCTCTCTAATTTTTTTTTACCTCTTTCTGTCTCTGTCATTCTCTCTTTCTATATATATTTCCTTTAAATTATTGAAAGTTAATAAAAGTTAGGTAAAATAGTTAATTAAAATTGAAATGAATATGTAAAAGTGACTAAATAAAATAAAAAATATAATATTTAGATGTATTTTGACTAATTATTTTATAGGGTCGGATTGGAAATGTTGTTAGTAAACTAAAAAATTAAGAAGACTTTTCACGGAATTTCTTATGTCGTATATGCTCTATACGTGTCAGCAGCATTACGAGCCATGTGTCCCCCCTTCACCCCTCAATACGTACTGTTCCTTCGCCAGAACACAACAGACTCGTCAAGTGCTCTGTTCTGATTCGAAGGCGATCATGTCTCGTTTAATCCCCTCAAGACTTTCTCTCTCCAGAATCTAGTAAGTTTGCTTCAACTAATCTCTCTCGCCAATTTCTCATTCTAGTAATGATGCTGGTTGCGGGAAAATAAGGTAGAACGTCAATGTAAATAGTCATTTTTGAGTTTTCCTTTCATTTTTCTCTGGAATATTTTCTAATGGTATCTTTGTAAGACCGTTCATATGAATTCCTAGCTTGGCTTGTCTAGATTTTGTTGTGTTGTAGTTAATCACCTTATTTATATCTAAGAAATGTAGATTACTGGGGGCTGAATTTCACTGCATTGGTAGCCTCTACGATTTCTGGTTTGTGATTCTTGTAAAAATTGGGGCATTTCTGTTTGGCTATTAAGAAAATGGAGGAAAATTTAAGTATTGGGAATATTTAATCTATTTTTGACGGTTCAGTTTTACAAAAAACTAAGCTTTATAGTGCAATTCGGCTGTGAATATTTTTGGATTCTCTTTTTATTTATGTAGTTTTTGGCATGAGGAAGCTGGTTACAATATTTTTTGACACACAAAAGAAGAAAAATGCAAGTTGGGATAATCGAAGTGCCACTAGGCCATCCCATGTCTTCCCCTGGTGGAATCTTTTGTTTTTCAATGAAACAGACCCATTTGGCTACTTTGAGGTTTGGTGGAAAAGGATACTGGCAAAGGACCAAATGGTACTGAAAAGCCACTAGAGTGTAGGTTTTTTCCTGGCATTAGCTCATCTTCTTTGTTGCCAATGGTGATCTAACAGTTGATATTTTTTCAGCCTTATAGGTTGATATTGCTAAAGTAAAGGCAATTTTATCCATTATACCTATTCCTTTCTGAATGTTGGGCGAAATATCGAATTCTTTTGCTTTAACCCCTTCATGAAGATAGTCCAGTGTTGCACCCAAACTGGAAGGAATAGCCATGATTCTGCCCAGTACTGTGTAGTGTCAATCATTGGTACTGGAGAGTCCAACTTTTTGCTGGTGTCTTCGCTAAGAACCTAAATGATCCATGAATTTTAGAAGCACTAGTTGTAATGCTCTTTACATTTTGATGCTTTCAAAACTAATTCGTGTTTGTGGTTTTTGTTAAGATAAATCTAAAATGTTGACCATGAAATCTGAAATATGGATTTTATATGTTGTTGAGTTGTGGGTTTAATGAGAATGGTCACATGAGTTTCCTTCTGTTCTCTACCTTTAGATTTATGGTTTGTTTTGTGGCAATAATCCCGATTTTTCAATTTATTCATTTTATTGGAACAGTACAATGACTGCATCCAGAAATGGCAGATTTATGTCAACAGACTCTAATAAAACCGATGAGCGCTTCAAAGTTGAGGAAGCAGAGACAGTTAATATGGCCCCACCTCCAACAGAGAAGGTACTCTAATGGTTTTAGGTATAAGTTACTGCATTGCTTAATAAATGATGGACGTTTTCCTCCTGCTCACATGTAGTCATTTTTGTGTTTCTCGATTCAGTTGCTTGTGCTGGGTGGAAATGGATTTGTTGGCTCACATGTTTGCAAAGAAGCTTTAGATCGAGGTTTGTCTGTTGCTAGCCTTAGCAGGTATTAGCTTCTTTTGCATTATGGTTTTTTGTTGGTGAGCTTTTAATAGGATTTTTTTATCTGAGACCTGATTGGATTTAGTTGTTCATTTGGATATGTCGCCTCTTTATGCCTGGACTGCCTATTTTGAAGGTGAGTAAGTGTTTGTAATGAGATAATATGGTAGGTAAGAATTATTTGAATTGTTTTATACTTTTACATGCCATGTATAGATAGTGAGGAATATTTGATTAGAAAATATGCTAGATTCCCTTTTACTTTTTATTTTTCAGCTATAATTTAAGATTTTTCTCTTGGATTTATCTTTCATAGACATGTATGGCTGCTCTGATGACACAAATCTGTTGTATAAGTGAAATATTATGATTGATAACTCACAAGATGATTGTAGAATTACACGCTAAAACGTACTCAACTAATGGAACCTAACTGTTTGGGGCAGATTGTATGAATATTTTGTCATTGTGCCGTGTTTCAGAACATATGCTTGGTTGAGTTGCAACCACCATATTTTTGTAAACTACCTCACCTCATATTAAGTTTCATGCCAGATAGGACTTTAAGGCTTTTAGGAAATATATTGATATTTGAGGGAATTAGCTTGTGAAGGAGAGAAAGACAAATAGGGAGGATAAGATAAGCCTTGGGATCAGACGCAAGGGTTTGATGAGTAACCCCACCGAGGAAAGATGAAAGAAACTCTCCTTCAAAGGCTTCACATCTCACCAATTTCTAAGAACTTGGAAATTACTACACAAATATATGAACTTAAATCAAGCACCTCATCCTTCTGAATCGCAATTTTACACTGGAAAAGTAGTAACATAATAATATAAGAAACCACAAATGTACAATAGATTATTTTGACAAGTTACCATACTGTCGAAGTAGAATCTAATGCCAAAGTTGCAAGTTTAACAAGCAATTCTTTTTATTTGCATATTTGGACAGCTGGACAAGCAATGAAATAGTAAATTTAATTTTTTCTAGGCACTACTATTGTTAATATTCCATGGGGACAAATAATCTTAGCCATGGGTGTTGGTGCCTATGGGCTGTGTGGCATGAGTCAGATTCCAAAATTTTATTCTCTTTGATTTTCTTCTTCTTTAGGCCCTTTGTGTGGTGCATCATTTTTTTCCATTCCTCTAGTATTACCGTTAATGTACTGTACCGCATTTCATCGATGCAGTCATTGCTTTGCTCTACTGGTGCGGAAACCTTCTTGGTCCTTTTATGCACAATTTATCTTCCAATGGTGTTGTCTCAACCATCTTGCAAATAAAGCACAAAGTTGCATTCAACTAGAGAAAGTGAAAATAAATGACACAAATTGAAGTTTGCTGATAGTTAAAATATGGATATGAAAGACCCCTCGGAATGATTTTCCCAATGACTTATACTTATTAGCTTTCTGTTGGAGTTGTTTTTTATTTTTATACAAATTTGAGGCTTATAGTATGTTATGCTAGTTAATAATTGCTCATGGACTGTGAAGAATAGGCTATTGGACGCTAATTTGGGTCACTTTAGTTTATTGTAGGCTGATTTTTACTCTCCTTTCTCTCTATATCCTCAAATTTATTAACTAATTCTATCCTTTGTGTTTGTAAACTGGTGTTGTTCTTTTTGTAGATCTGGTAGGTCGTCCATACAAGAATCTTGGGCCGGGAGCATGGCTTGGCATCAAGGTTTGCTGTCTTTTATGGTACATTTCTTTGTTACATTATGCTTAAGATGATGTAATGCCTCTAATCATTTCCCTTCCTGCTGCAGGAAATTTGCTTTCAGATAATTCATGGAAGGAAGCATTCAAAGGAGTTTCTTCTGTTGTACGTAGTGGTGCCTTAATCCTTTAATGTTTGTGCGACATTGTTACAGTAGAATGAATCCTGACTCATGCTTTTCAAACAAAAAGAGGAGTAGAAAAATTAAGAAAGAAAAAGAGAGCCTGAATTCCCTTTTCTTTTCTTTCCTCTGATTTTTTGTGCATTTTTTTAACTTTGTCTTGAGTGGTATTTTAGTGATAATCTATGGAACTTCTTGTTTGTTGCGAGTTGCTTATTGCTTCATAATTTGCTTTTGTTCTGAGAATGTGGAATGCTATCATTTTGTGCCATACAATTTTCCCAACCGTTTTGGATTCTTTTTTAGGTCATCCACTTAGTCTTAATCCTGTCATTGTTTGTGTCTTAAATCCTTTCTTTTTCGTAATGATGTCATCTGATATGTGAGACAACTCATTCAAACTTCCCTTTTCATTTCATTTGAGTCTTAATTGAATGCGGCTTGCATATGGTGGCACTAGTAAATGTTGTAGGAAACAATTTGCTACAGGCTAATACTTCAAACTATTATTATTTCAAACTATTGAAGTACATACATAGAATGGGCATAACAGAAATGAGGATATTGATATGTGAAAGTCATCTGAGGTTTGAGTCATCTTAATCTCCAACGAAGCCTTGTTTTCAACTGCCATGTATGCTTATGTTGCAAAGCAAAAGAACTGGAAATTCATCTTCTCTCTCTTTCATATTCTATATGGCCCTGGAGAGATGTTGATATAGATATCTCAATTTGTTTCCTATTGGATGCAGATACTGGTTCATAATTCTTACTTTTTAATTCGATGTCCACCACTGCAGATTTCTTGTGTTGGTGGTTTTGGCTCTACCTCATACATGTATAAGATCAATGGAACTGCCAACATTAATGCAATTAGAGCTGCTGCAGAACAAGGTATTGATAGACTGATTAGTCTGCTTCTATGTGATGTCTCTGTCCCTCTCGCACACACAGATTTTGTTTTCCATGTGATTGTTAATGAGTAAAAAAATCTGAGCGGTGGGCTAGATAATAGAAATTTTTAAGGTGTATCAAAATTGACCCAATTGCAGCTTTCTATAATTGGCCATCTCAATATTTCTAATTATTTCGAATCATGAATCTTCCATAGTAAAGAATGCATTCTTAATGAAACAGATACACGTTGTCTTCAAGAAAACACTCTGTTTCCTAACAGTTGATGGAATCTTCAAGCTATTTGAGCAGGATTCTGATGATCTCATAGGTGGAGTTTTTTGTGGTAAATAGGTAGAGAAAGAGATCAAAGAGTTCGATGATATTAATCACCAATTTGTTTGGAAACCAATTGACTCGTGAATGGTTTCCAATATTTCTGACAGCATCATTTAAAATATTTGAAGGGGTCCCCCGACTTCTATTTTACCAATCTATTCTCTTGTTGAAGAATCCATAGCAAACCATTCCAGGACAGACCTCTTTATTAAAACCAAGCCTACTGCAAATAAGTCAGCAGAACTGTTTCGGTATTAAATTTTTGTCCTGTTTAGAAAAAGCTGTTTAATGTTTGACTTCCAGCATTCTCTTTATAGGCAGTGCTTGTGGATTCAGTTCTGACACACCAACGGGTCTTTAGTCCAATGGTACTCCTTACAAGGATTTGCCTTCTTAAGGTCAAGGGTTGAACTCCCCCCCCCCCCCCCAAAACAAAAAACCCACACACACACAAAAAAAAAGCAGTTCTTACACCAATTTTATCTGGTAAATCCTTGTGATGCTATTTATATGCAAGTAATGCGACATTGATCTTCTCTTTTGTCTTTTCCGGCTCTTTTTATTTTTCCCTTTTGTCCCTAAAAGTTGGGGCCCTTGCATCAGGAAGCTCAGGTTAATGCAAGATGGATTGAAGCTGTCTTCAATGTAAAGAACCTAAGTTACTACCTGTTCAAGTGATTGGTAGCTATTACTCCAGCCAAAAGAGAGAGAGAGAGAGAATGTCTCCTTGTGACCAAAAGCCTATTTTCTCTTTTCTTTCTAGGAATAAACATAATTGAAAAACACTGAACAATAGTGCAGGAAGAATTCTTACCTGAAGAGAGGATAAATAAATAGAACAAGAAGGAATATATATGTATATATATTGGATAATTTTTAAATATATATTGAGTTTAGTCTTAGTACTAGACCTGTTTATTTCAATTATTTTTCAAATTTATTGGTCTCTTTATCTAATAGGAATATAATGAAAGTTTTAACTTTAAATATACTAACTTTTGGCTATAACTATATGGATGGAATTGAACCTGTTAATATAACTTATAAAATTCATTATAAGATAATGAATACCTTTATTCCAAAGTCTAAGTACTACAATAAACAAGGTACAAGTACTCTAATAGGGACAAATTATTTGAAAAATAGAATAGCTCAAAACAGAGCTATTAAATGGAAAAGTATTACTTTTCCAGAATCATGGAACTTATAATCAGTAGTTCCTACACAACTTATAATTAAATTCAATTTGTTTCTGATCGAATTTTCAGATTAAACATCGACGTTTTGATTGGTTCCACAAGGAATTTACCATCACAATATTCAGGACAATGAGCCTATTGATATTGCAGAATTTGATCCTACTGCATCAGCAATGGAATTTCCAATATGAATTCACAACCATTCAAAGTGGATAGGACAAAAACTGCATTCGAATTTAATCTTCCTAAATATTAGGAATTTCGAGAATGGTATTTTAACTCCTTTAATAAAGAGGAGTTAAAATACTATAAAAATCAATTTTACAATCAAATCGAATTGACTTAAGAAGTCATTCCTTTTGTTCAATAGTTTTTAATATTTTATAAAAATAAAAAATTTGCTTATGTTAATACACTTAAGCAATTTCATAAACAATGGAATACTAAGGATTGTAGAACCCTCAATTTAATTCACCCTCCAACAGTTCCTCTCAAATTAATTAACAATCAGGACAATGGAAAAACAATTTTGGAAGCTTCTGTTTTCATTAGTCCAAAATCCCAAGAGGAAAATCTTAACAAGATCTTTAAACAAAATAATTATACCAATATTTGTGTACAAAAATTTGGTAAACAATTAATAAGAATTGAAAACTCTTTTGGAGAAATCTTCCAAAACAATTATTACATTACCTCTAAAACTATCAGTTTAGAAATAATAAATATCAAACCACCACCAGACTGTAAAGGATTTAAATTAAATCTTAACAAATCTGATGATGAATTTTTAAATGCATTACATGATATACTAATGGGTCTAAAAATTAATTCTTATGGTAAAACATTAGATAATAAACAAAAGCAGTCAATGACTAAAAATTAATGTTTTATCTCAAGTTGAAAATAATTATAAATCAAAACATTCAGATTTAGAATTAGCTGAAATTTAGCAGTTCCAAAATTCATCGCTAGATATGCGACAATCTAATTAAATTAATAAAATTGGGTTAAAATCCAAATTACGAACTAATACTGCACCAACAAAGGTCATATTATCTTAGAGCTACGCCCCAGAATATTTTGTATGAAGAAACTTTCTTTGCAACCTAGTGGGAATACTGTGGAAAATCTATTTATGAATGAAATATTGATGACTTTTCTAAATATCGAATTTATCAAGTTTTGCACAAAATATTAATGTATGTGTCTGTGTGTAGACAAAACTCAAAAACAATTATTAAACTTTAAACAATTATTATTGTGTTTACACACATATGCATATATTAACATTCTGTGCAAAACTTGATAAATTTAATATTCAGAAAAATCATCAATATTCTATTCATAAATAGCTTTTCCATTGTATTCCCATTCAGTTGTAAAGAAAGTTTCTTCACACAAAATATACTGAAGCATAGCTCTAGAATAATATGACCTTGTTAATGCAATATTAGTTTGTAATTTGGATTTTAACCCAATTTTTTAATTTCATCGGGACTGGATTGGCGCATATTTTGCAATGAATTTTGGAATTGCTGAATTTCTACTAATTCTAAATCTGAATGCTCTGATTCATAATTATTTTCAACTTGTGATAAAACATTAATTTTACTAGCTATTGATTGCTTTTGTTTATTATCTAATTTTTTATCATCAGACATAATTTTTAGACCCATTAGTTTATCATATAATGCATTTAAAAATTCATCATTAGATTTCCTAGATTTAATTTAAATCATTTAGAGTTTGGTGGTGGTTTGATATATTACTACTTCTAAAACTGATGATTTTAGAGGCGGTGCAATAATTGTTTTGAGAGATTTCTCTATAGAATTTTCAATTCTTATTAATTGTTTACCAATTGTTTGCAAATAAATATTGGTATAATTATTTTGTTTAAAGATATTATTAAGATCGTCCTCTTGGGATTTTGAAATAATGAAAACAGAAGCTTCTAAATTTGTATTTCCTCCTCTGAATTAATTTGAGAGGAACTATTGGAGGGTGAATTGAATTGAGGGTTCTACAATCCTCGGTATTCCATTGTTCATAAAATTGCTCAAGTCTATTAACATGAATAGATTTTGGATTTTTATAAAATATTAAAAACTATTGAATAAAAAGAATGACTTCTTCAGTCAATTCGATTTGATTGTAAAATTTATTTTATAGTATTGTAACTCCTCTTTATTAAAGGAGTTAAAATACCATTCTCGAAATTCCTAATATTTAGGAAGATTAAATTCAAATGCAATTTGTTTCCTATCTACTTTAAATTGTTATGAATTCATATTGGAAATTCCATTTCTAATGCGATTGGATTAAATTCCGCAATATCAACAGGCTCATTTTCCTAAATATTGTGATGGTAAATTCCATGTAGAATATTTTGTTTAGAAAGTTTGACATCTTCTATAATTGAAGGTTCGTTTCCTTCAGACCCATTAACTGGTCTGTCACATGAAGAAGAAGAAGGATTGGTTATAAGGGTGAACAGAAGAGGTACTTGACCTTGGTTGATCAAAATGCCAAATTGAAGAACATCTTGATAATCTTTCGACGTTTAATATGGAAATTCAATTAGAAGCAAATTGAATTTATAGATCTCTTTCTGGAGTTTGAGAAATTTGATTTATTTTCCTATTAATTATGGGTGGGGTAGGAACTACTGATTGTAAGCTCATTCTTGAAAAGTAATATTTTCCTATTTAATAGCTTTGTTTGAGCTATTCTATTTTTCAAATAATTTGTCTCTATTAGGGTACTTGTACCTTGTTTATTGTGGCAATTGAAATAAACAGGACTAGTACTAAGACTAGACTCCGTAACTCTCATTAGAGATTGTTTAAAATTGAAACATCTAGCATCTTGTAATGCTAGAATAAAACTTGTATTGGTTCCCAAAAGGGTAAAAGGTTTTAATGCAACCTGCACCAAACCAAATGGAGATATTGATATTTCTCCTTATGTCTAGTAACCTCTCGATGACTAAACAATTGCAAAGTCAACATTGAATTTTCCAAAGAAATTGTTTGTTTAATTGTTTTAATTGACAAACTTGATTTGAAATCAAAAGATCCAATATTATAAAACCTTATTAGGTTTGATTTCTGGCATATGCCAATTTTTTAGCATATTTTCTACATTTGAAAATTTAAATTTTAGAAGCATTTTTAACAAATTCACTCTTGTTGGGTAATTTTCGAAGCATTTTTGGTTTTTAGAGATGCATATATATTCTATCTGGTATAGTGTTATAATAATATTCTGTACAAAAATAGTTTACAATGACATGTACTATAATGATTTACTATTCAGTGTCTTCTACCTTACCCTCACTCTTCTGTCAAAGATTTATCGGAACCTAAACGGCACCATCCCATCCTGGTCAGCAAGCCAAAGTTCTTACGCGACTTGGGTGAAGAACCATGAGAGTTAAATAAAAGAAACATATCGATAAATCACTATATCACAAAATCACTAGTTGAAACTATAGAATAGATATATTACTATTAACACATTATGGAAAAAACTATGGAAGACTGGTACCAGAA